TCGGTCTGACGCACTTGAAGGTATGATTAGCGCCAATGCTCTTAAGATAGAAGGACTGTAGAAAACAATAGACTTTGTGTGTGCCGAAGTACAAGATCTAAAAAAGAATGTGAAAGATGCAGATTCCAGGCTCAAAGCTCAAGATCGTCTCACAGGCACCTGGGAAACACGCATTTCTGATCTGGAGAGATATTCTCACAAGTGGAATTTGAGATTGTTAGGGGTGCCTGAGTCTTACAAGGAAGATATCAGATCTGAGGTAATTCGAATCTGCAGCGAGACTTATCCCGAGGCCAAAAGCAAGTACCCTGACGTTGTGGACACTGTGCATCGGCTAGGGAGGAGAGGTGACAACACAAAACCTTCTGTCATTATCATGCAATTTACCTCAAGGGTTATCCGTGATGCCTTATGAAAAGCTGCCAAGAAGTCCCAGTTTCTCAAAGACAACAACCTGCGCTTCGCAGAGGATCAGACTTCACTAGACTGGGAGAGACGGAAGAGCTTGTGGCCTAGAGTGAGAGAGGTGAGGGCTTCTGGAAAAGTGGCTTATTACATCGGAGCGCGTGCGTTCATTGAAGCTGCAGAGATTACTTTGAGTTCCATCATGAGGATCGTGTACTATAACTGTTTTTCTATGGTGACTGTTACCTGTCACTATGGCATTTGTGCTATCATCGTATTACAGCTGGACCTTTAATTTGGTCATTTAAAATGGTCATCTAAGCTCTGTTCATCTAAAAAAAAATTCTCATCTATCAGTCAATTTTGACTTTTTGCCTTTGTTTTGATTCTTGTTAACAGCTGTTCATTGCTGTTCGTTTATCAAAGTCGATATCGTTCATTTCTCTTAATGCCAAGGGTCTAAGAAACAATGTGAAGCGCAAAGCCCTTTTTCGTTTGTTTGTTAAAAACCATGGATCAGAATTTTGCTTTTTTTCAAGAAACCCATTCCACACAGGATGATGTTACATTTTGGAGATCGCAGTGGGGCAGTGATGTATGGACGTCTCACGGCACCGAGCGATCAGTGGGTGTCACCATTTTAAAAATTAGTTTGCCAGCGATCCCAAGGGTCATTTTCTTTTGGTTTCACTTGGCCAGACCATGTATGGGTATAATTCTTCTAAAGAAAATACCACCTTAATGGATGTGATCATTGAATTATACAGTACTGGGTAAATAAATGCCCCAATGCTGTTCTTATTTTAGGTGGAGGATTTCAATGTGGTATTAAATAGTGATTTGGATATGTTTCCCCCTAGAGCTGCTTCTATAAATCCAATTAGTTAGTCAGTAGTAATTTAGCTAAACTTAAAAGAGTAGAAGAAAATAAGGTGGTGTCTAAATTTGCAATACTTTCTTCTGAATCTTACAAGCTTGAGTATGCTGACCTGCAATCTAAATTAAATGAGATGTACACTTATAGGGCACAGGGTAAGATCTAGACCAGTGATGGGCAAACTTGGCCCTTCCAGGCCACTTTCCTGCAGAGATTTGATCCAACCCTGATAAAACTCACCTGCCTGTAGCTTTCTAGTAGTCTTGAAGACAATGATTAGCTGGATCAGGTGTGTTTGATTAGAGTTGGAGATAACTCTGAAGGAAAGTGACCTGGAAGGGCCAAGTTTGCCCACCCCTGATCTAGACAAAAATGGATGGAGGAGGGCGAATGCAACTCAGCATATTTTTTCAGATTAGAAAAGAGTCGCTTAAGAACTTCATTAACTGAAACTCTACATCTCGGGGGACAGTCACTAGTAATAATCCTCAAGAAATTGCACATTTCTGTGCTAAATTTTACAGTAATCTTTACCAAAACAAAATGTGTGTGTGTATATGAGCAATATCACTCGAGTACGAGCGCGATACCGGCTCTATATCAGCATGGCTGTGATTAGGCCAACTGAAGAGGCAGCCTGTACTTTTCTGGAGTCTGTTAAAAATTGCAAGACTATCTGAAAAAATTGCAAGACTATTGAGTTAGTAACTCAATTATAGAACTTGGGTGAGTTATTGATTATAGAATCAATAACTCACCCAAAACGGACAGGGTTACCGCAGAGTTCAATAAACAGTTCTCTAAATAATTTATAAGGTTTTTGAAGAAAGCATATGAGGCTCTCCCCCCGACTTTCACTCAAGGTTTAATTACTTTAATTTCAAAATCCCCCAAAATATTTACTTTTAATTGACAATTGGCAACCCGGTTCTCTGCTTAACAATGATTATAAAATTTTAGCGCTTATATTTGCTAAAAGACTAAAATCTGTACTGGGTTCTGTAATAGATGAGACACAATCTGTTTTTTTTTTTTTTAACAAAAGACACATTGTTAATAATATAAGGCTAGTTCTTGATTTATTATATTATTCAGACTTGATACAGGAGGACATCTTAATTCTTTTCTTAGATTTCTATAAGGCGTTCGATTCTTTAGAGCACCAATTATTATTAAGTCATTACATAAATTTGGTTTTGGGGATAGGTTTTGCAGAGTAATTAAAACCCTCTACAATAATGGAAGCTCTTCAGTTGAATTAAAGAATGGCACTTCACCAAGGTTTAGTTTCTCTAGAGGAGTCAGAGTGTGTCCCATTTCTCCCTATTTATTTCTTCTTTGTGTGCAGCTACTGTCAACGTTTGTTTGTGAAAGCGGTGTTCGGGGGAGTGGATCGAGAACTATTTATTAGTCAATTAGCATATGACACCACCTTATTTTTAACAGATGCATCCCAAATCCCTATAGCAAGTATAAAGAAGATTTAACGCATGGTTGCAGAGAGACTTGACCTTGAGAGGCAAAGTACTGCTTGCTAAGGCATCTCCAGGCTTGTGCTTAGGGATGGGTACCAAAACCCGGTATCAAATGGGCCCCGGGGCTAAATTCGATATCGGTAAGTTCTGACGTTAACGGTTCTGCTGTCGGTACTGGAGAGATCGGGAAAACACACATACATCTGTTATTGCTATATAGACATTATCTTGCAAATTCTATCTCACCATAGTCGCCAGCTGTTTTTATATGATTGTTTCCAACATTGATAACAAATCAGCATATTAGAATGATTTCTGAAGGATCATGTGACACTGAAGACTGGAGTAATGATGCTGATCATTCAGCTTTGGCATCACTGAAATAAATTACATTTTAAAGTATATTGATCAAATAAATGCAGTCTTGATGACCATTGTTACGGGGCTGATAAGTGACTTCTTGCAAAAACATAAAATGGTAATATATCCAAACTTTGGACCTTTTTTTTTTTTTTTGGTCAAAATTTTATTTGAACATGTAGTACAAAATAAATCTGGCCCTCGTTTTTAATGGGGGTTTTTTTGTTGTTGCAATGTTCATGCAAACAAAAAGTGCATAGTGCTGCTAATTTTATTAGTTGGTTTTCGACATAAAACTTGGTGAAATGATTTCAATTTAACAATGCTTTTTCATTTTTAAAAAAGTAGCTCTCGAATGCAATAGGGTTGGAGACCCCTGGTTTATAGGATTCTTGTTATATAATAATTATAATAATAATACTGTTATCTTGTTTATGAATTTTACACTTGTATTTCATTTGATTTTTAAAGAGTTTGTCATGCACAGGACTGAAGCAGAAACATGTGCCTTTAAATGCATTAATGTAAGAATATAAAGCCTCTGCATTACTTCAGCTCTAAGCAATGCAAAAAGAATATGGAATGTTGACAGTTATTGGGGAAAGTGGAGTAAGATGTTTAAGTTGTCTCATAAATTCTACTGTAGGCCTCAGAGATAAGAGACATATGAACTCAAGACCATCTGTAACATAACGACTTAGAAATATGACTGTATTATAAATTGACTGACGGCATGTCATGAAGAAATAAAATATGCAAATATCCTTTTTGTAGTGTAGTAAGCTCAAAGCTCTACTTCTGCAGAATTCAAGAAACATTGGGAGAACTTTCTTGTGACAAGACAACAACAAAGAAAAGTTTACAATTATATGAAATGAATCAAGAAAACAGTTCTCCATATGGGACTATTTAACATTCCAGCCGTCAGTTTTGATGGGAAACATAAAATGTTGTTCCCTGAAGAGACTGAAGTGTCTTCTAACATGCTTTGAAAGCAAACGTGGAGTTCGCTTTGCTAGTAGCGAATTATTATTATTATTTTTTAAAGAAATCTGACCCTTGCTTTACTGCCCTTCATCAGAAGTCGAATTTCATATGAAACACTTTTTTTTTTTTTTGCAGAATTCCAGCCTGGAAGTGTCAGTAACAAGTAAAATGCACCAGAAGATGAGGATCTCCTGGTGAAATGCTGTTTATTAAAATGGAGTTCCCCTTCATGAGGCAGAACTGCTGCTGCTGGCACACCATGAGTCCTGCTGATAAAGACCTGCAAAGATCACTGTCACAACAGCAAAGACATGTGCATCTCTTCCTAAAGACGCTGCCGAAATGCTGCGGTTTAGGTCAGATTCGGGTCAGGTCAAGGCCGAGATGAACCGAGACAGTTAATGGACATCAGAGTTGAGATATCCATTAGGGAGAAAGAAATTCAGTGACATAAACGCACAACATGCACCGCTGGACATTTTCAAAAGTTTAGGGGAATCTTGTTGCACAATATTGCATTTCATATGTTTGTATTGGCACACAGGCTATAAAAAGTCCTAAAGCACATGTTTATGGGGGGAAAGGATTTGGCAAAGATGTTGTATTGTGCAATGTTAAGCAGGGGCGAGAAATGGGGGCTGTAAAAAAAAAACTCCAGACTCCCAGTGGTTACATCCCCCATGCTGAAACATCTCTCTGCTGACCAAATATAGAGGTTTGACATATTAGAGATATCGCATCAGGCATCCTGTTTATGTTTGTAATGTGGGAATTCTTAATTCAATTGCGATTTGTCAAAACAACAAATTCGATCGACGGGATCCACGTTTATTAACATCTTCTAATACAACAGAATGTAAAATCTAGGCAAAATGTGACGGGGGGGGCGTGACAGAGTCTCAGGTTTTGTTGCTATAAAAGTGTTAACGAAACAGAGGAGGAGATAAGAGCAGCTGTTGCCGTGAAGAAAACTTCCTTCTTCTGAGAATCTCTGAGGTAAAGATGAGACCTGCAGTCTATAGCCATTATTCAGCACTTTAGAGCCACAGGTTTTTGGTTAGTGGATGCACATAATAAAATCAAAAATGTGCACTAAATAAGTCCTTGTCTTTTCTTGCAGCTTTTATGGAAACACAGCATTCAGCCATGAAGTTTCAAATCCTGTTTTTTCTCCTGCTGCTGACTTGCATGTATCCCAGTGTGGCACAAGGTAAGAATTTAGTTCATTACGTGAGATGACTTTTATTATGCATTAATAATGTGATATTAATGATGTAAAATTAAATATATAATTGCTTTAAATATAACATTGTAATTTTGCACATTTCTGCAAATGTCCATTTTAGATTTTAGACAGTTTTTAAAACATTATTTTTTTTTTTTGTTATTCAATGCAAGGGTTTAATGGGATTTAAGTAAAAATTATATATGAAGAAGTATGAAGTATGCATATACACTGAAAAAAAAAAAAACTTAAAATGGTAGCATCTTAACTGGTTTTATTCAAGCCAAAAATATTTTAATGTCACTGATTTAGCTTAAATACACTAATTTATACCATCAAACTAACTTCTATGGGTTAAATCAGGCAAAAAATAGCTAACAGTGGCAGGTTACCACTTTTTACAGCGTAAAAAGATACACGGTAAAAATTTATTAATTTTTTTTTCACGTTGTAAAACATAAGGAATGGATGGAGGAGACAGTTAATCTATTGGAGTGCATTTTACAAGAAAATACTACTTTAGTCTTTCTACTTCAAAATTTTACGTTTAAGTCAATGTGTTCTACACACATTTTTTTTTTCAGTGTAGATAGATAGATAGATAGATAGATAGATAGATGACTAAATATAATTTTGATTTATTTTCAGGTTCCTATGAAAACTGCTGTTTGAATTATGCAAAAGTAAAGAAGAGCATCAGGAGACATATCGTGAGTTACAGAATGCAGGAAACAGATGGAGGGTGTAACATTCCTGCTGTTGTGTGAGTACAACATGTAACACTTCAACACAATCACATGGAAAGCTGGAATTCATTTTACCAGTAATACATGGTTGTCCCATACAGCAATTACGCAGCAGATTAACAGCCACGGTTGTAGAATTATCTATGTCTTTTTCTCATTTTCCTTTTCTGGTCTCCAATCAGCTTCAAGCTGAAGAAGTCAAAGACAATCTGTGTTGATCCAAGACTATCCTGGGTACAACAAGTGGTACAGAAAATGAAAGAGTAAAATGCAGACACTATGTAGTGTACGAGTTTCAGAGGCAGCTTTGATCACGCCACTGCAGACCAAATACAAATGTTTATATCACCAACACACTAATGTAACAATGTGTAGTTTATACCACTATCAATCCTGCTGATTCATATTTTCTCCACCTATGAATTACTATCTTCATGCAGAGGTTCATAATGAACTGTATTGTATGGTCTGCTTCTGTTCATTGTATTAGAACAATATGAATGTACAAACTGTGAATGTTTGCTCTATTTGTCTACATGCTTCATAATGATCTTTTATATGTATATATAAATATATTTCTTTTTTTATGTTTTACTTCATATAACCTGTAACCAGCATAGCCTGTGACTGTGTGTGTGTGTGTGTGTGTGTGTGTGTGATTGAGTGGATAAGAGGGCAGTATGTATACATTTAAAGCATTTTTTTATAATAAAGTGTTGCAATTGTGCATTTAAATTGTCATGTCTTTTTCGTTTGTGTGTTAAACCCATCTGAAGTATTATGACAATGATCTAGCAACTAATATCAATTAATAAGTTGTTTTATGTAATACAATTAAATACAAATTATTATTATTATTTTATTATCGGTTATTTAAAAAATTAAGACACTGCTTAATTTAGCCTTTAAATTAGATTTTAATTGCCTATGAGTAAAGCTTGGAAGTAAAACAAGTTTGTCTTTCATTACCCTTCCTAAGAAAATACATTTCTCCTGTTGGTTCAATGCCATTGAGCATGTGTTTGTTCTTGCTTAAGCTCTTTGTGGTTGATTTAGGGGATTCTTATCTCTGTATCTTTCATATGCCAAAGTATCAGCGTGAGGTGTGACAGGTGATGCCTAAACTTGCTGGGGTGAGATAAATTACTGAGCCGAGTTTCTCCATTTCATGCCAAATGCCTGCGATTCAAATACTCTCGTTCTAAACCTGTCATCGCCTCCATTTAATCTTGCTGTGAGGGTGAAATCTTACTTGTTAAAACATAATGCATTTCACTTAAGAATTTCGCCTTTGTTCAAGGATACTATTAAATTCCAATTCCACACGTGACGAGACGGTACAAGTGATCTAAAATCATGTTATGTTTAAAGGAAGAATTCATGCAAAAATTAAACCCTTGTGGACAATAAGGGCACTTAATTGTATTGAATGTGCACTTGTAGTGTACTTAAAAAAAAAAAAAAAACTGTACTTAATATATTAATAAAATAAAAGGTCACTTAAGTACTTAAAGAGAGTAAACTTTCATGACTGTTTCTTACAATTAAGTACGCTTTTTAAAAGTGCACTTTGTAATAATGCCAAATGAAAAGTTTCACTTTGTAGTAAATTTTAAATCATTAACAATCTTTTGTCTTGCTTTAAAGTAGCACAATTATATATAAAGACTGATATGCTATATATACAGTATATATATACACCAAGGCAAATGTATTGAAAAGTATATAACTGAACTGTGTGTTATTCAAAATTACATTTAAGGTTAATATATTTTGTGCTAAATTGTAATGTCATCATTACAAATGTGTAATTGCAAATATATTTAAATACATGACATACAATTTTCAATATTACAGTTTAGGTTACCATTAATGCTTGCCATATATTCTGCAGTATTGTTTAAAGCCAACAGAAGTAACTGTGAAATTACATAATGTACTTCATAAGTCCTACTTAAGTGGGTCAAAAACTGCATTGGATCTAGATTTAAACTATAATACATTTTCATTTAATTGCAAGTTACGTGCAATTACTATAAGTGTCTGAAAACATTCAGTTCACACTTAAGTATATTTGTGTCATTATTTGCTCATCCATATTGTTTTACCTCCATATGACTTTCTGATGTGGGAAACAAAGTTATTTATTTTCTAAAAGCCCCCCCCCTCATTTAAACTTTAAAGTTTTTGGCTACTAGCCCACATCTGTTTTGACATTTTACGCAAATCCTTCTGTGCCAATGTTGGCAATAAAGTTGATTGTGCCTGGAAATGAAAAGAAGAAAAGAAACGAAAGTGTCTTGAGTTAGTGTGTGAGTGCAAAAGTCATGCACTGTAACTTTGATAGTACAGTCATAACACGAAGAGAATGATAAATAATGTTGACGTAGTTCCAAATATGAATGACTTTATTTCTTCTGTGGAGCACAAAAGATAAAAAAATTGAAATAAAAAAAAACATAATAGGGTCCAAACAACATTGGGACTGAGACTTTTTCATCATCAGCATCTTCTTTCATTTACACAGAAGAAAGAAAGTCAGGTTTGGAACGACAGGAGGATGAACAATTGATGACAGAATTAGTATTGGGTGAACTATCTCTTTAAGCTAGTCTAAAACATTTTCAGCTGTGCTTTTCTCACTCTTTTTTTCATTGTGATCTTTCATGCACACATGTAATTAATTGTTATGTTTGGTCCGTAATTAGATGGCCCCATAAAATGTATAACTACGATTAATCAGAAAGGCAATTAATCAGCCGCCCATGAGCATGTTACGCTCAGTCATCCAAGACTGCTGATTTTGGCTTAAGAAATATTTTAGAATCTTTGAAATTAGTCTCAGATTGCATAATTGCAGTGTATGCCAGACTGGTTGTACATTTCGATCTGTTCCTCACACAAAGCTACCATATGGCTTAAGAGGACTTATAATATATAGTCTTCATCCATAGTGTAAAACAGAGTTGCATGGACTTGCTATGGAACTTTAATGTTGCTTGTTATGTTTTTGTTTTTTTTGGAGCTTTAGAGTACCTTGTCACCATAAGCTTTTATTGTATAGAAAATATCATTTTTATTTTAATAATTTTGATACTTGTAAGCCTGTGGTCAGTGTGTGCTTTTGTATTAAGGAAAAGAGTTATGTAGCGTTTGGACCAATTAGACACACAATTATTCATTATATTTAATGAATAATCCGGCAAATCCCTTACGCCAAAAAAAAAAGAAAGAAGCAAACTATGTGTTAGAGTTCTGTGAACAACCCCCGAAGAGCAACTAACACCCCAAAAAAGGCAGAACAGGCCTGGTTACCATGGCAAGCAAAGACAGATCATCAGATAACACTGGTTTTATTGCTCAAAGTAATGCAGGCTGAGCAACTCTCACTCCAAAGGAAAGTACATTTCATTAATTCATATTCGATTTCAGTCAGACCTTTCTATGAATGAAATCCATATCCCCAGGTCATTGTGTGTATTATTACTGTTCCTGTATATTGTGTTTTGTATAGTATACTGTTTTATGCATGCCTTATGATAGAATCACTAGTTAAAGTGGTTATATGATGTTGCTAAAAAGAACATTATTTGGTGTATTTGGTGTAATGCAATGGGTTTATGTGGTTTAAGGTTCAAAAAACACATTATTTTCCAAATACTGTACATTATTGTTGCTCCTCTATGCCCCGCCTTTCTGAAACACGTCAATTTTTACAAAGCTCATCGTTCTGAAAAGCGAGGTGTGCTCTGATTGGCCA